AGGCTATTCAAGCATGGCCGAGGTAATTGTCTTGGCATCTATTTATCTACCAAAACACATGAAGAAGATAGGAATAATGTGACTATCCTTTTCCTGATTATGATTTAACTTGTGTGCTCACTTAGAGCCCATCCCCTCGCCTTTTTCTTCCAATCAACACAATTGTTAAAGACTCTCTTAGGGGAAAAGCCACAGATTTTGCAGGGACCTACTAATTATTTTAATTAGCCCAGGAATACTATTGTAATTCTTTGTAGGAGACAGCTCAAGTAGCTCACCTCACTAGTTGTACAGCATTTTCAAGATAAATTTCCAAAGGGCCCACTGAATAGAGGCATCATTTCCTGGGGATTTTTCTACTTGGTATATAAACAGCACCAGCCACAAGCTCACCCAAAAATCCTCTTCTTCCTCATCTCCCTAATTTGTTACTCTTTAAAACGCATTTCAATTTCAAGGCATGTAAGCATGTGTTGGGCAGTGTGACAGAGGTTCTCATTATTCTCATTGTAATCCTGAGAGATCGGTATTAGTATCCTCTGTTGTATACATGAGGAAATTGAGGCTCACAGAAGTTAAGTGACTTGGCCAAGTCACAGAGTCAGGCTGCTGAGATTCTTTCCCCAACACTGGGGATCCTGTGGCCAAGTTTTTATGCGCCATCTGGGCAGCAAGGGACAAGTCCTTACCATATAGCCCACGGGATCTGCTCAGAGGCCATGGAAGCAGCAGCAGGGTTATTTTTGGTTTAGTTTGGTTTGTTTTGAATGGCTAAAAATCCTATAGGAATTGTGACTGGCCTCAATGACTATCCACCAAAGCCCACCAGCCGGTTGACTCCTGACCTTCCATGCTTCTCATCCTAATTAATGCAAGGTCTTTGGATCACAGTGTTAGCATCAAGGCCCTGTTAGAGTTAGCAATGACCTTTACATCTATCAGGCTTTTCAAAATATGTAAAACAGCTGTGCATTGGGAACACCCCCAAACTCTCAACCTTGAAATATGTAAGAGTAGATGCATTTTTCCTAATTATGGTATTTTTACTAAGTCTATGTGACATGATTTTTATGTGTCTAAAAAACATTTAAAGAGTGGCTAGTTTTCAATTTCCTAAGCAATCCACTGAAGCATGTAAAAAGAAGATTCTTGCAAATGAACGGATTTCCTTGGCGTAAAAAGAAACCCCAGTAGCAGGGAAGACAGAGGACGATGTGAAAAAATTGGGGGGAAGGGAAAATGTTTGGCTTCCTTACTTGTGCCTGATATCCTTTTGTTCTCCCACCTCATTGTATTAAGGACGCTAAATCAAACATGATTGCAGTGATGCTTGTGTGTGAAAATGACAAAAGCAATGGGCTAAAAATCCCAACCTCATCTTGAACCCTGAAGACTTTTATGGCTTTTCCTTCACTAGACCCTCCCCCTAAAGCACATTAAAGACCACATTGTTCAAAGGGGTCATGGTAGGTTTCATACCCCATTTTAATACAATGTAAATAGTAACTGAACTTCCAAGTTTTGTTAGTAATATTTGTATCTCTCTGAAAATGCCCATTAAAAGAACTGCTCCCTTGGTTTAAATATTAATGCAGAATTATAATATATCAGACAGGCAAAACAATGGTATTAGGGAGGTGCTGTTTGTGGTGATTAGATTTTCTTTGTATACATCCTCTTTCTCTAGGAAAGGGTTATAGGTTATGGATGGTTAAAAATACCCACATGATCTTGTGAAGTGTCTTAAGTATTCTGAGCCTCAAAACTGTCCAAAAGAATATGTCAGGTCTCCACTCAAGAAGCATAAAATGAATTAAACTTAGAGCTCATTTCAAATGCAGGTCTTCCTCCCCCACCTCCGCCCCCCACCCCCATTCCATTTGTATGTTTGTAAGTCACATTATGCCTCCATCCCAGTGTGTTTATGCATTTATTCCTGGAAGATTTCAAATTGGGAGAAGGATATTAGAGGCTCTTTATAATTCCATTTTCCACAGCTGTTACCATCAGTTGTCACCAATACTTTACGAGTTTAATGGGAAAGAGGCAACAATAACTCCATTACTCTTTCCAACTGTCATAAAGAATTTGCATCATAAAAGTACCTACTGAATCACTAGCTTAGTTGGGCTGAAAAAGGATACAGTAAAACAAGAATGTAACAGTTAGTCCTGGGAAAGAGGATTTGGAAAAATGAAAATCTGGGCTGGAGGAAAAAACCAACAAACATGGTAGCGCTTTTCAAATGATAAATTCATTGGTGGAACTTTCTCAAGCTCAGGTTATCTGTGTTTAACACAAATATAATATGTATTAAATGTGGCATGGTATCACAACCTAAGTACATTTAAAAATATGATTTATGATTTCTGTATTTTCTTGGCTACAAGTCTGTTTAAACGATCCCAAAATAACACACCAAGAGCATCTGTTTAGCTCAGTTGAACTTTTAAGAGCCAATACCAGCTGTTGGGGGAGGGATTTCAAACATGTGTTACTCAAATCCTAACCAAATTGTGTGTGTGTGTGTGTGTGTGTTTTCATTTCCTTAATGATGCTTCCAATACCAATAAAGCAAACATTTGAATAAAAAAGAAAGAAGGTTATGGGGGGAAAAGAGAGAAAGAAGAAAGGAAGAAAGAAAGAGAAAGAAAGAGAAAGAGAGGAAGAGAGAGAAAGGTGTGTGTGTGTGGGGGGGGAGAGAGAGAGAGAGAGAGAGAGAGAGATTACTCAATGCTTTGATGCATGGACTAAGACCAAAATGATCACCCTCTCCAATTCAATACAGTATTAGCATGAGGACAAAAGGCATTTAAAAATCAATTTGGAGTTATTTTTAGTGGGGACTGCCTAATTTCAGCAAAGTTGAGGAATGAGAATATTCTTAACATTAAAAAGGCATTCTTAACTATTGTTTTTCCTTTAAGAGCAATCTGATTTTCACAAGGAATTCATTTGATGGCATTGTTTCAGTTTTAGGTGTCTGCTCTGCCAGGCAGGAGCTGTGCACAAGGGCTGCATCTATCTTGAAGTGTGCACAATGGCCTCTCTTGCGGCTTGCTCTCTGTTATTGATCCTTACAGATGCTCCAAGGCCCTTCCCCCACCCTTCTCCAAATCCCAACCCCCATTCTGAAAGATAGCTTAAGAAATAAGACTTCCTGCCTAGCGACTGGCAGGGCTGAAAGACCAGATTGTATGACTCCACAGATCAGGCCTGCCACAGTGAAAGCTTGAATAGAGTTAACCCTCTGTGAACTAAAACAAAACATTTGTATGCCCAGCTGTGACAAAGGTTAATTTAAATGGACAAGGGCTCAATATCTAAAACCAGGCAATGCTTTTTTACAGTAGAATTTTCACTGGTCTCTTTTTAAGTAGTTTGACTTTGCTTTTTAAGCTTCCAGAGACCTCCTTCAGCTGGAATAATTCAAAAATTCACTTCCTTGTTTTATGAAAGATCTTGTTTTAGTACCAGAAGTTATTTTCTGCCATTGAACATCTAAGAAAAGTCTAGGTTTCAATACTTAATTAAATAAGCACTGAGGGAGAACTTTCTGTTCAAACCTTTTTCTCTTTCAGAATTTGTGGACTATATATCACTAAGAGATTCAAGCTGGCTGGAAAAAAAAGAAAAGGCCAAATCCCCCAGAGCTATCCCATCCAAACTCCTATCCCTGCTGCTCTGGTATCTCTGACTACCCTTAAACTCCTATTCCAATGGATCCAGGGCAAATCTTACTTCTTAAACTACTCCCTTCTGAAAAAGCTAGTATATCCAAAATAGTGTAATAAAGCATTTCTGTGTGAATTGCGGGAAGGAGAGAGCTGTTCAAGAGGAAAAAAAATAACAGGTCTTGCATGTAATTGATACTTTCTTACAAACTTTGTTGTTTCTACTAATTTACAACAGAAACCAATCAAGTAATTCTGGTATATAAAAACATATAAGGGAGTATTACTATAAAGTGTTACTATAAATAAGAATGCTATGAGAGGGAGTCCCATCTCACTTCCCTAGTTCGTGCATCTCAGAGTGAGAATGAAACTGCAAAGCTGCCTGCGTATGGCAGATGTTAGCTATGCTGCAAGGGGCTGGGAAGCTTTCCCGGATGAGCTATTTCATAGGTTAATGCCCTAGAAATTAACCAGCTACCTCAAGGAATCTGACACTCTCCTGGCTATAGCTCAGCAGTGCTTCCCTGTAAGAAACCAAACTCTTGGCAAGCTCTTAGACTCCATACTTTAAAACAAAGCAAACAAATACAGCACATCTTTAATACTAAAATTCATCTTTTAGATGTTTCTTTAGTTGTGTATGTCTTTCTGGCCCAAATAATAAAGGTGTGGGGCACTCGAATGAAAGTAGGAGCCTATCTCCAAATATATGAACTGCAACACAAACTAGGAGCTATTAATGAGAGAGAGAGAATATTAACCCTTTTAAAAACAACCCACTTAAAAAGAAATTAGCAGTGTCTTAGTCTTATGCTCAAACTGCAAAGTATCTAAGTTACCTAAAGTGAATGTGGTTGCCTTATCAACGGCCTCATGATCCCAATTCTACCTATAATTAACAGTACTAAATAAGGCGGTGGCAGACAGGATGAACGGGATTAAGAAATTTAAAATATAAACAAATTCTGTCAAAAGGTAAATAGAATAATTTTTAAAAATGTAAACTTAAGAACTGTAATGTAAAATGAAGTTTAAAATTTTTTAAAGTCACTATAAAATTTAAATTGTTTTTCCTTTTTTCCTGCTTTCTCTCTTAAAAACATCAACCACAAATATTCAGTATAGTTTCCCTCTATTTTTTCTACTCCAAACATTTACAGCCAGTTACTATATACAGGAAAACTTGCTGGCTGAATTCTGCCAAAACACAAAAGAGGAGTGGATTGCCCTCCCTCCTCCCTCAAAGCTTCTATTTGCTTTAAACCTTCAAAGAATTTCTGAACCTTAGATTTGGTCCCAGTCTTAAACAGTCAGTTCCCTTACCTTCCCATGTCTCCATTTCATGCTTCTTGCAGTTTGTTGAGAAGTTCTATTGCAGCCATGAAGAAACAGATTACAGGACAAGTCCAGCTTGATAACCACCCTTCCGACACTTAGCCAATTTCTCTCTTAGCAGGCACTACGACAGTCATCCTCACAGGTCAGTTTACAAGCCGGTCATGTGATTAGAAAGTTCAGGCGCTAAGGTCACAACGTGTACGGAGTTCGTTTATTACCAAAGGTTATCTAAGTGGAACTGATAGACTTATTTTTTTAGTTAACAATACTGCCTAGCATGTCTCTCTGAAAACTGTAATGGAAACATTCCATGGGAAATACTACTCTGATGTTCTTTAAGCTGAGATTCTAAAATTAAAAGAGAACATTTTAGAAAGACCTGGTTTTCATTTAATTTTTAAAAGTTCTAATATGTGGATTTCCCCCCCCTGCCCCTTCTTTCTTTCAAGAACTATTCTCTACTGAACTAGAAAATGTAGAGTTGAAACCTTTGGCCCAAGGAAAAGACAAACAAAAACTCCATGTTATGCATGTGTTTGGGGGAGGGGAGAGAAGGGGAGTGGGATTCCCTGCCTTTTGTCATTATAATAAACAATGACAAGGCAGATTTTTCTGAGAAAATTACAATGCGAAGCTCTGAGTTATTTGCTGGGTTCACTTTAAGTCTGGTCCTTAATTTCCATGCTCTGGTTATACACACTGGCCTGAAAATGTGGAGAAAGGAAACTAGGTCTGCAAAATCCTTTTAGAGAGCAAAGGTTAGAAATTCCATCCCCTGCCCCCAGCCAAATTCTTAAATCTTTAAGTAAGCTTCCTGCTTCATTCCTTTAAAACTCTGACGATCTTAAGCAATTGTTAAGCTATGTCTCCCTGCTTTGTGAGCGGTACCAGCAATATGTGGCAGAGTGCGTCATGCCCGCTGTGCGTTACACCTTTCAAACCCTGCCACAGAGCTGCAGAGGCTGGCAGATGTGAGTCAGATGCTATCAACACAGGACGCCAAACATCCAGTTATCCATTCAGATATCAGAACCCAATAAGAGGGCAAGTTCCACTGGGTAGGTGGGATGGCCCAGAGACTGATTCCTAGGTATAAGTGCTTTTTAAATGCACAGGGTTTCAGCCTATGAAATCTCCCTTGCACCCTTGCCTTGGGAATAACTTAAAAGCTAGGCACATTTTACAGCAGTGTTCCAGAAAAAAAGGAGACCCTGCTTGGGTGGAGTGGAATCTGTCACTTGGCAGCCATATAATTAAATGGCAAATATTGCTACCACTGTTTACTAGAGGGCTTTTCCAACCAATCGAGAGCATTAGGGTCAACTTACAGCATAGGTCCCAAAAACAAAGTGGCCAATGATTAAAGGAGAAAAGGCTATAATTTATCTGCCTAAAAATAAATGTTCTGCCACTGCTACCACACACCTCACCCGAAACACCAACACATCAGCCAGTTTTCCTACATCCTCTCCTATCCAGTTAAGAGATTAATATTTTCTTCTCAATCCCTGTGGAACTTAATGTATCTCTATAAATAGAATGAGGGGGAAAGGCTGAACAAGGGGAAGGTCCATCAGCAAAAAGCTATTCAACTGGGAATACCCATTCAAAGGCAGCTCTCTGTTTCTCTGAAGGATACAGATTTACCTGAACTCAGCTCCTGCACACAGAACTGTAGTAATAAGCCTCTTTGCTTTATGGCACCACTCTTTGGAGCAAAAGATGAAATGGGAAGCTATTAGTCTGGCTCCTAGTATCAAGACAGAAGCAGAGTCCTTGATTTATTTTATTATTATTATTTTTTTGAGAGAGAGAGAGAGAAGTGGGGGAGAGAAAAGGGGGGGGGGAGGAGGGAAGAAGGAAGGGGAGAGAGCTTGACTTTGCTATTCCACTCATCTATGCATTCATTGATTGACTCTTGCGTGTGCCCTAAATGGGGATCTAACCTGCAACCTTGGGGCACTGGGACTACGCTCCAATTCAGTTACTGGGCCCCAAGGCCAGAGTCCTTGATTTTTAAGGGTAGGTCTAATAATCTGTGATGTACCCATAAGCCTAAGAACAAATCATTAACATAGTTTAAGAAGGGGGGGGGCGGCAAAGAGGGTACAGGGGGAGTAAATGGTGATGAAAAAAAGAAAGAAAAAAAAGATGGGTAAGTCTTATCTTTTTTTTAACTTAAAAAAAATTGATTTTAGGGAGAGAGGAAGAGAGAAACATCAATGTGAAAGAGAAACATCAATAAATTGCCTCCCCGCTGCCCCACCCCGGCTAAGATGGAACCCACAACCTGGGCACGTGCCCCGACCAGGAATGGAACAGGTGTCCTTTTGGTGCCCTGGACGGCACTCAACCACCTTAGACACGCTGGCCGGGTGGTAAGTCTTATCTTCGCACAGAGTCATTATTCTTTAGCATCCTCAGTCCCGCGGGGTTTTGGAAAGCCCTTTACAGGCTCTACTGAGAGGAAGGGGGAAGAGAATAAGACATGCATCTTAGGGACCACATGCAAATAAAAACTAACTCTAAATCCTAACTAGGGCTCCCAGTAAAATTGTTAAAAGCAAACACAAAGGGGGGAAAATCATTTAAAAAGACTAAGAGTATTCCTGGAATTTATGAGTAGGAAGAGGAGAAAAAGAAATAAGAAATCAGTACATTTTCTACTTGCTAATACTAATTTTGTAATGTAGAGAAAAGTAGATGAACAAAATTCTGCATCCAACATCTGCAGCATTTGCATACTGCATATCTAATAGAATTCAAAATTTTAGTTCAAGTTGTGAATGGCGGAACCTAAGTTAACCTTGTAAGAAACTATTTCCACTTTTATTTTAAAGATGGGGAAACTAAGGCCCCAAAAAGGAAGAGGCAGAAGTTACCAGACCAACTGAGAAGAAAACAAAATACCCTACCCTCTCATTTCTTCCATTATACCACATATCTGGGACAGAAAAAAAGAGCCTCTTTTTAGATGCTACCATTCAAGATCATTTCTCATCTGTTTGTTTATTCAAAGAGCAGCTTTCAAAGAAGACTGCAGATTTTGAAGCTAAAAGGGGGGCCGGGTATCAAAATGTAATATGCTTAATCCTACAATGTAAAACAAAAGATAGCAATCTAGTGGCCACACAATCACTGGAATCACTTCAACCTTACTTGTTTCTAAGAAGTTTCAATGAAAATCTGATGTAAAGCGAAAGCTATATGATCATTCTGATGAAGGGAACTATCCATTTTAGAAATCCAGAAATACACAGAAAATGTTTTAAATTCTTTTTAACCTTACAAACCACACACACACACAAAAGAGCCCAAGGCCTCTGGTTCTTACCTGTCAGATCCTAGGGCAAGGAAAAGAGTTTAATTAGACCAAATAGGAATAATAAAACACAGCCAAATGAAGTCTATACTATGAACTAACAAGCAAACCTCCTAAATGCAGAAAAAGAACAGAAGCAACAAAGAACATACTCAGATATAATTTCCAGTTTTGCCTTCTATTCCTGTAGTTAGAAATTCAAGAATTCATAGTTCAGTAAACTAAAAACAACTAAGAATTTTAAACTAACAATATTCCAGAAATTAGGGTGTTTTTATTTAATACAATTCTACAAACATGTGCTGAGTACCTCCTATGAGCTAGGAACTATGCTGTCTGAAGTGATAGAAATGACGTTTATGTCACCCTTGCCCTAGAGGTGCTAATTATCTGGTATCTCTCCAGCCTTATTTTCCACCATTCTATACTAACCCACTTGTAGTACAAATACACTAAACAAATAAATGGCAATATTATGAGCACTGTAACAGAGGTAAGTACTAAGTGTTAGCGAAACAGATGAAGGGACAATTCATTAGCCTGGAGTGGAGTGCCACAGAGAGGGCAGTACATTTGACCAGAATCTCCAGCCCTAGCTGGTATAGCTCAGTTGGCTGAGCATTGTCCTATGCACTGAGAGGTCACTGGTTTGATTCCTAGTCAGGGCACATGCCCGGGTTGCAGGCTTGATCCCCAGTAGGGGCCGTGCAGGAGGCAACAGATAGATGGTTCTCATTCATCAATGTTTCTCTCTCTCCCTTTCATTTCCTCTCTCTCTCTAAAATCAATACAAACATATTTAAAAAAAATTTTTAAACATAAAGTTTCCAGTTAAGATGTTGTGCTTGAGTTTTTAAAGTATCACACTCAAGAACTGATTATGTCAGTCCCTTTTGAATGAAAAGAAAAAAAACACAGATATATAGTATACAAACATAAATGCAACCAACTATTATATGTCCTGAG